TCTTCTAAGTATGTATCTTGTGGTATACTTGTGGTGTATAGGTTTTAGCAATTTAGCCTAGGTTTAGGTGTTTCAACGATTTTATAACGAAGTTTTTATTACGATTATTTCTTAAGTTTTTGTATTGGTTAATTATCCATCTGACAGGTAGGACAATCCCGAGTCATTGTTCAGCATGGACCAAGTCAGTGGTATTCTTAGGCATGTGTCTTAGAGAATTTTCAATTTTTTAATTTTTTGTTGAGTTTGAGGAAGCGGTAGGCCATGCCTCATACTGCAGGGCACGTGGAAGTCAGTATTTACAACATTTTATCCGCAGGGTTGTGGTAATGAGGTGTAGTTTAATAGGGGGTTTAGGATTTTTACCCTAGTACATCATTGGATTCGATTTTGATTAATGTGCAATGTGCATTTTCCAAGTTAGATTTTCGTCTGGGTGTATGCCTAAATATTTCTCTGAGTCATATATCTTGAATATCTTGAAACCTATGTATACTGCAGTCATTATACCTAGGTATAGTACGAAAATATTGATTATTCTAAAAATATGACGTAGCTAAATTAGTTTCATGATACATCTGCTGAAGTATAGGACAAAAACAATTTCATTTAATTTCCATATTTTAATTAACTACATTAATTTTCTGCCACGTGATTATAATATATGAACAGTTTAATATCACATTATAATAATGCGATAAAAAGGAAAATGTAATTAACAACGTACAGACTTGCAGTACATTATTATTAATATAATGATGTGTATAATTAGTGCGGAGGATTTATACCTACGGATCGTAAACATTTTCATTTTCTAATTTCTGTTTGACACCGTACGTCACATTACTCATTATAATATGAATATCGTCAGGCGTAAAGCACCGGTACCTATAAATCGGGATAATATTATATACCGCAGCATAACATATAATAGTCGCATATTATATTTACGGGTGATGACGGTTCATACTGTCATAGGTCATAGCCGTGTATTTAATATTCCATCACGTTAAGAAAGTTAGTACCTACTTTTTTCATTCGTTATATTTTCTTATGGTATTTTGATTTATTATATTATTGTCAACATTGTGTGTTTTTGCATCAGCCACCTATATATAACGCGTACAGCTATAATTCATAGTAAATCACAATGGACGGACGGACTACAGTTGTAGATAACTTGTATACATGTACAATTGTTTAGACAAAAAATAATTAAAAAACATCTCTCATGATAGAAAGTAGCTTCCTCGTTAAGCCATCCGTTTTCTTTCTTCTTATTTTTCTGTTGGAATTCAATGGACATGTCTCATTAACACCCGCAGACATGACGGCTATTCATTGCCTACGCAATTATATGATAGATTTATGTAAATTATTGGCACGGAAAACATGATGAATTTGTTCGATTTTAACGCACTTTCCATAAAAATAAAAAATAAGATACAATAATAAGTTTGACAATTTGAAATAAAAGCAGTTTGCGTACATATTATAGAATTTCAATAAAAAGAAAACCTTAAGTTTTACTCACACACACACACACACACACACACACACACACACACACACTATCTATACCTACCAGTATAAGTGTTTTATATATTATAATATACATTATACACCCACCTCTTGGTACCTATAACCTCTCTACTTTGGTTATTTTCGCAAGTCATTTTCAAGTGCACCGGACGTCCTGTTTGCGAATTTACGTTTTAATATGGCGTACGTGTATAGTGTACCTACCTATAGGCTATATGTAACACATCGCGGTAGTTGTGTTTTCGACAGGAAGTGGAAGTCTATATATAATATTATAATATACAATCATAATTATAGCATAAACAATACAAAATAACATAATAAAAATGACAATACAAAATGTTCGTGCAGATAAACATGGATTAATCCTATATGGCTATGTATGATAACCAGGATCAAAGTATCAAAATATATAACTTTCATTTTAATCATAAACATTTGATTTATTACGTTCATCCTGCAGTATAGATTATCGGACATTTTAAAATAACATTTCCAATACGAGAAAATACTTTTCTCGTGAAACAGAAAGTCCAACGTGTGAATACTGCAGTAATACGATTACCAATATGCTTCCTATAATATACCGGAACACGCTGTGCGTACATACAATTTACTTACACCAGTACACCTATACCGGAGCGATAGATTCTTAACAAAAATACATGGCAATGATGTATTTTATTATTATCTTTTCGTGCACCGAACACTTTTCCGAATAAAAGTGGTACTCGATAAGTTTCACGTCTCGTTAGAAAATCGAGTGCCCGTGGTCGGTATTATGGTGACGAGATAATTTTTATGATTTTCTCGTATAGTACCCCATGTCCCCATACTATGTTATATTATACAATACCTACCTATATATACATAGAAGATCTGCTGTACGCGCAGTACGATTATATATATTTATATACTTATATATCGCGTTTATCAGTCCAAGAGACATGACTGCAATATTTTGAGGAAGAATCGTTTTCAATAACCAGATTTCCTTTGGTCCTCTGCGGACTGCTACAACTGCAGCAGTTGCGACTTTCAAATTCAATTCCACCTGCATACTATATCCTGCACCGAGCCGGTATGCTGCAAGTGCGGAACGCTAGATGAGCCTCGCAGACAACCAGCGTTCTTTACAGTTCGAATGTCGAATTGATTTTGATTTTATACCGTTAATAGCCGTCGTACACGGTGTCGCGCCGCAGAATGTCACAGCCTATACTGCAGTAAGTGTGCAGTCGTGCCATTAGCGATAATAATTGTCCGTCGGCGGCGTCGACGAACTGCACTTATTATCGGTAACGATATATATTTATAAAATTTTATTTCCTTCTATACAGTTTTCGTTATTTATTATAGATTATTTTATTGGACGTCCGTGACGGTACAACGGTAATCGAGAAAGTAATAGTTAGGTATAGGCAGGCATGCCCCACGCCGCACTCGCAGGAAAACCGCAATTACGACTTTTCTTCGCCGTGGAAACAACGCTCGTAATACATTTTCAATTGCCACGTATTTATGTATATATATATATATATATATATATATATATGTGTGTGTGTGTAATATGTATAGCTGGTAATAGGTATATTGTGGTTCGGTTCGGGGTTTCTTATTGCCGTCGTGGAACAAATAAATGCATTTCGTTCGGAATACTGGAGAACACGAATTGCCTATATACATTGTATTATATATAGGCACATCTACCTAGGTGGTATCTATATAGTTACGCGCACAACTCGACGACAACTGTTAATAATGGTTGAAAAAAAAAATAAAAAAATACATAATACCATTTAATTGTGGTCAGCGTGGCCGTGGCGACGGTCCAGTTAGGCGAACGTGATTATGTGTAATAGTATATTAAAACAACGAACGGAGCAGCGCGCGGTTTAACTTATCGTATTATTATAGTGGCTGAAAATAAAAAATGCAGTGTAATAATAATAAATTAAAGCATAAATCTATAAAGGTTAAAATATAGGTATTCAAAAACCGCGTGAAAGTCATATATATTATAAGAATGTCTCAAAACATATATTTTAAGAATAGCCAAACGATTTACCGTGGGTATATTATAGGCACCTATATTATAATACCTATACAGTATATATAGAAATATAATTTCTAGAAACGCATCTGTCTGCCTATACAATGTGTATGCTGCACGGAATAAATTCGAAAATATTTTTAAAATACTTTTATAGTTATATATATATTATATATGGCCACGAGCTACGATAGTCATGAAAACTCGTGATCGATCATCGTCACGAATTATAGGTAAGCGTATTTTTGTTGTAAGCCGGTGACTCGGAGGAATACATTTTATACATAGGTACCTACCTACACTAACCAAGGATGCTTTTGTATACAATATATTTGAAAATCGTGATCAGACGTTATGAGTATAAATAATATAATATAGCGTAAGTAAACCCCGCGTATACCATATTACTATTTACTGTACGTCTGTACCTATATATAGTATTGGATGGTACAGTACAATCGAGTAATAATAACACAATACAATATAGTATCTGGTGCGTTAATCTACCAGCTATTTCAACATCATAAAAATAAAATCATGTAAATCCGTGTGGCGTGCATCCATCTATTGGATTGTTCGGAGATCCTATTGTAATAATAATAACGATGGTACAAATTCTACCCATGGGTTGTGCACTCTTGTATTATTATTTGTGTTTGCTGGCGCGTTCTAAAACCTAGAAAAATAACAACAATATAAAAATAATATACATAATACATAACATATTCGGATATTCCGCCCCCACTTTGCAGGTCACAACTAACATGGCTTAGTTATTGTTATAATAATTTTAAATGATGGATGTTATAATTATATGCGCTTGTATGCGTAGGCGTCACTACTTCAAACTGTATTGTGTTTTAAAACCATCGTGGAGCTTGAAAATTACTTACGGAACACTGAAAAAATCTAGCAAGCAGCTATACCTGCAAACAATCAGAGCCTGTATTTAAAATAGCTTTCGCTGCCGAGGTACTCGAGGTTATGACAAACAGAAATATGTTGCGATTTGCGAGTTTTGACTATAAAAGGCACTATACCTAATCTATGACGAATTAACTGAAGTATACTTGTAACGTGGGCGTTCGGCACTTTTAAAATGGACTCAATTTCTGTAACTGTACGTTGATCAAAAACCCAATATAATACCACGTCCCTATAATATATAGCACGCACATTTTGTTTTCATTATCTTGCTACATACATAGGAATGTTTTATTTTTAAGTGACTAAGTACCTGTTTTTAAGGAGTCCTGCGGTATATATTACGCAGTATTTTAAAAGATGTTTATTATTGCACTTATATCAATAAGATAATTTTATATATAATTATTTACAAGCGCCAGCTAATAGGTACTATTATATTATGTTGTGCTATTATAAAGTTTCAATGTATATTTTATAGGCGTACAAACTCAAAACTCGACCGACTGCTGTCCAAATAGCGAGAATAGCAGCATTCACTGTGATCGCCTGCTCGTTCATACTTGGATCATTCATGCTAGCTGCCGCTTGGTTACAGGCGAACGCGTCCTGCTCGCAGTTAATGCACGCCGAAGCACTCCTCAGACAGGTAGACACAAAATAAATATATACCAACGAGTTCCTGCGATAATGTAATATCTTATGGTCTATACCCCAACCGTTAACCATAATGACTGTATAAAAAGACGAATATGAATAAATCACGATACTGTTATTGTTTCACATATTCGTAAGTATATTGAGTAAATTCTTTAAAATCTTATTATTATATACAAATCTCGGGAGAATTTCTATCGATTTTTGTTAACGGATAGTCATGGCATAGAATTATTGTTATATTGCCATTTGTCCGTATCTAAATCAAAATTATTTGTGCCATTTTTCATTGCTCATTAGATAGTCATTATTATCATTATAATTCGAATTGTTTATCATACATTATTATTGTCGTCTCGGTGGGTGTTTGAATCTTTCGGTCAAGTGTACGTACCTACAGTGGCGTACCCATGATATTTTAATTGGGGGGGGGGGGATAAACAAAGTAAATCAGAATTTGATATCCACCGCTACCTTATACTAGGTCGTTATTACTATCCCGTAACCATAATAACCTCTACAAATAATTAACACTGCTTACCTATATATACCTACTATTTTTTTTTTAATGCGTAAATAGTTCAAACTTATTCACAGTAAAAATGTAATTATTAATTTATAAAAAGTATGTTAATTGAGCATACCAAAAATGTGTATAGAACTCAAACAGCGCTGCATTAATATTCATATTATTACATTTAAATATTTTTTATACTGTAGCTATAGTAGTTAATAGTTTATACCTACTTTATATCTTTCTTCAAAATCGTATTAAAATTATTATGAGAACCTGCATGTGACCACTAATAAAGTAGCCTGTAGATAGGTCATACACAGTATTTTTTTTAAAGATTCATAATAATCTGATATGTGAGAAGTGAGAACATTAAAATGGATGTAATATCACTTTCTTTGTGTATCTACCTATATACCTGAAGTTTTTTTTGCTGGTTTGACGATGACAGTTTTCCGGATTATAGAATAGTTCAGCTTTCACTATGTAATATAATCCACGCACAACAACGGTGAAACGGTTTTTCTAGACTTATTTATTTGTTTTTTCTGTGTATCAATTATATATCCTGCAACGGTCAAATAATTCTTTGTTATGCTATGCATTTCGTCTGTAGATAATAATAACAAAAAAAAAAAATAGTCAATATTATATTAGGTATACAAACAAATAATCAACTTAAAAATATTTCCGCGTTCGAAAATTTACGAAAACGAATTGGGCAAGGGTCCATAACACACGCGCGGCCGATATATGGGTCAAGCGCGTACCAATAAGTTACACGCAAGGTATAAGGATTATTCGGTGTAACCGACCATTGAGCCCAGGAAACGAGTTGATTATGAAACATTGAAACCGTCGTACAGGCAGGCAAGACGTATCTATAATCTATATTACATATTGTTATTGTTCAATTCGATGACCGGCTCGGCGTATAATTTGTGCCTATACTATGCGACAATGTTCTGACGGTATAAAAATAGAACTCTATAGGTAATAAATAATAATAGTTTAATATTATAATAGTTGTATAATGAATGCGCTGCATAGATCTACGCAACTACCTGTGTATAATAGTAATACCTGCCTACCACATATTATAACTATACACAATAGTGTTATGTAATATATTTTTATATACAGCTATACATATATAGAATACGTGTACAGTAGGTAACTCAGGGGCGGACTGGGCCACTGTGCTACTGTGCAATTGCACAGTTCGCCGATGTCATTCTATGTCCCCGAGGCTGGTACAAAATAATCCACCTGAAGGTATAATATTATTATAGACGATTTTTTTTGGGACATCTACATATTTAGAACACCTTGGCAAATCGTAATGGACTAAGAAGAAATCCACTCTGTTCAACTTAACTTAAGATACTTTTAACTAGAGCCCGGATTTTAATGCATTATTTTTAGGGTAGTCCCCTGCAATGCTTTTCAGTACATAATCCGTTCCATACATAAGATGATTGAAACATAAACTTTTATTCATCGTTTTTGTAGCATTTTACTATAATTTTGTTAAATTTTAGTGTATATTTAGTATTTGCACATTATTTATTTAATTATACATATATTTTACGCCAATTGGAAATCAACAATAATTATATATTATATTATACATTTTTATATTCAACTTAATTAGTAATACAGAACATTTTGTTCTGACCATTTATCATATTTAGTGGCGCAACCGCGCAACTCTAAACATATGAGAGGGATGGCTGAAGTTCCTCTATATATTTTTAAAATGATTATAGTTAAAACTTTAAAAGTAATCCGATGGAGCTTTGCCCAAATCCTCCTCATCATTGTAAGACGTTTATGGCAGTGCTATCTAGCTAGGAAATTCAGTAACTTTGAGAGGGCAGTTCCTCAATGACTTCTTTAACTTGGAGTTCAAAATGATTTGGCGAGTGGCGACAGTAGATGGCGCTGCCGTTATCGGGTGGGTCGATTTAAAACTAAATAATAATACCGGCCAATACCGTTAGCGGCGATAGATTAAATTAAACCTCATTAAACCCAACTAAACCTAGCCAAACCCAACTCTAAACAGCGAGTGGCTGGTTCGGCTTGCGTTTCGTACACAGCTCGTGACGCCGACGGGAACGCATTGACAAGCCTCGCGGTGCGTCCCATAATGCATCAAGTATCGGTTACATATACAGGGAGGTTTTAGGGGATAAACCCCCTCCACCAACCGAAAATGTTTAGAATTTTGGAAATTGTATTTGTACAACATTTATTAATTGATGAGGTATAAAATACAATTTTTTGAAATTTTTTTATGAATCCCCCCTCCCCGAATTTATTTTTGTGTACCTACGTGCCATTATCATTATAGTAGGTACCTACTATTAACTATAATAGTAGGTATCTATGTATTTTAAAAAACAACACAAAACATTTTGTAAAATTTTAATACGATTGTTTATGTGAACTTTAGCAGTTTAGCCACGAGCCGTGGAAAACCAGATTAATAGAACTGAATTTTCATGTTTTGAGCATACATTTGAATTTATGACAGTAATTATTGTCCTATAATATACATTGTGATGAGAATGAAACAATATACTGATATAACACTTAAATACTTAATAGTTAATAGATAATTAAAGAAAATTAATTAATTTTTAAAATGTCATCGTGTACATAGGTAATATGGTTACCAATAATATAAACATTTGGTAAAAATACTAAGTATCTAGGACCTAGGCGTAGGTACCCTTCGTTATAGTTGAAACTATAATTTGTAACTTGTAAGTGTAGGTACCTATAAGGCTATAACCATTTCCTTACTTGAAATAAAAGTGTTTCTCTATGAAGTGCAAACGTCTGCAATGTAACAGGAATAAATAATGACTATTGTGGTATTATAAAGTATGTGGGCACCTAGGTGAAATAAATAATTATAATATATTATATTTAAAAATATTGGTTCACGTGCGTGTATACAAAGAATACTCATATATATTTATATAATTGATAAATATTATATTAAACTTTCACTCGTATGATCAGTGGCCACATAAGTAGTAAACATATAAAGTATGAATAATAAAATGTATATAATATTTATACTTAAAGAGTGAAGAAGCTGTAGACCGTCCACAGTATCAGGCACTGGTCGACCCTTTGCAATCAGACGAGACATCTGATTCGAAACAAGAGGAGCTTCTCGTACACCAGCAATCAACCAGGAATGCCGAGAATCCAACCACCGGTAATAATGATCAACAACCAGCTGCGCCAGTTCAAATTAAGCTGCCATTGGAATTAGATTTCGACGAAATCGTTGGTGTGAGTGTCTGTTTGTTTAGCGACAGTAGTGCAATAGGTACTACAATAGGTATACTTAGTAGATTGGCGAAATCAAGGGGGCTAAGCAACAATGTTCCTCAATATCCTTTAAATGTACGGCTGCCACCGACTCATAATTTTAACAATAAATTATAAAAATTTGGGGGCTTGCTTTTGCTGCATAATTAATTTAATTTCGATACATTCAATACATCTCTGAAAATATACGAGAAAAACAATACATTTTGAATAAAGATAACGTGAGCAATAAATTCAGAATGAAGACAATTTGAACATAAGACGATTATCAAATACAATTGTACACAACACATAATTTTAATTTTAATAAATGTATTTTTTATTACCATAGTTTATACAATTAATTAAATAAGTGGGAACTACATTTTTAACATTTTGGAACTATAACTAGCTGACCTTATGCTAGTCGTACCAATGAACGCTGTTCTAAAACAAATTTGTTTCACTAAAGGCTTTACTCGAGAAAAATCAACGTTCACGGATGAACTGTGTGATCGAGAAGAAACGCGCCGAGGAGGTCATGGACCACCAACCGAAAACGTTGCGTCTGCCATTCGGCGTGAACATTACCACTGATCCTCGTTTTGAGCATGTTACGGGTGAACGATTAAGTATCGTTTGCGAGAGTGGACACGACGAGAGGTATGAAATTATGATTATAAGTCCAGATTAATGGAATTAATTAATTACATTTTGACATATTCGTTTTAATATATGAATTTCTTACTTCTACCAACTTACTATTTAGGTAGTAATCATATAGCCGTATAGATATAGGTTTATAACCCAGCTATACGAATATTTAATTATAAGTATACCTAAATTAGTATTGTTTTGAAGCAATACTATAGGAGCGGTATAAGACATACATAGATGAATAAAACAACTAAAAAACATAATCTTTTCATATGAAACACTTTCAACTAAAACAAAAAAAAAAAGGCTAATAAATTTTAATCCCAATTCAGACGAGCTCCAAATCCAGTGGAACAAATGCAACAACAGCCATCTATGATGATGCCGATGCCAATGGGCGCTAACCCGATGACCCATTTACCGAGTATGATGGGACCACCTCCACCACCCCATCATATGCCACATCCTCACCATCATCAAGGTCAAAACGGACCAATCCCGTTGGCCTTGATTGCCAGAATTAACGCTGACATTGACAATCAGCTTCAAATGCAAGAGCAACAACAGATCGAAGAGCACATCATTCCCATCTTCCAACAGCTGTTACCCGAACTGAGACCAGCGTCCGATAACCACCACGAACACCAACAACACCATAAACAAGAAGCCGAGGACAGAGCCATGCCCAACAAAGTTCTATATCATCCAGCGATGGCTGAAGGAAGACCCATGTACACCGTTGCTATATCCGACAAGCCAAGCGGAGACGGTCCAATGATGCACCAAGCTATGCCTTCCGAATCTGTGCGCCAGAATGTGCCCATGTTCCAAAGGGTACCTATTCACGTGCCTATGTCCATGATGATGCCACCAGGTGCCGGACAATCGGTCCAACAAGAGCCAATCGACGAACCCAAACCAGATCTTCGTCCACACTGTAAGTACCTACCTATTGATAACTATAGGTGTACGATTTTTGTATTTTCTAGGCCCGTACGAAGTGTCATTTTATTATTTATTAAGAAGTAGTACGGAAAATAAACCTATATAGTTGAGTCTCGATAACTCAAATCTCAAGTTGAGAATAAAAATAAATCCAACTTATGTATTTTTCGAATCATATACCCCGAACAAAACTTAAAAACACTTAAGGGGCAAGAAAATAATTCGAGTTATTGAAACACGACTGTAGTTAGGTATTTAAATTACAATTATTTTAATTGATATGCCATTATTTTTCTTAGAAATCAAAAATAACTAACGTAGGTAGGTAAACCTAATACTTTTAATATGACAATTCATTTTAAACAGGAGGTAAATTAATATTAATATTGCATACATATTTCCGTTGTTGCAATATTGTAGAAATCATGTGAACTATTAGATTTTAAATAATAAAATACCATTATTATTAGGTCTTAGCTGGGAGATAAATGAAACACTTCAACAAATTGTAGTAACAATACATGGGTAGGTCGTAGGTTAGAAATTTTGAGACATCAATAATTTAAAATTGTTTAATTTTAACTTTAAGTTTCCTGTCTACCTACTTTTTAGTTTTATTTATTAAGATTTGAAGATTTTAATATATACTTACTAATTATATTTTTTAATTTTAGTTGTACACCCACGTTCAGTTGAGTCAGTTCAAGAGATCAACCAAAATGAAGAGATAGATTCTAGAAAATGAATTTTACAATTTGGCACACATTTAATTTTACATTAAAAAAAGAGTAAATCTTTTGTTAATGTCGGTAGATTCTTAAAATAAGCCCAAATTGACATTAGGATTACAAGAATCAAATAACAATTAAGCTTAAAGAATTTTTATGGATATTTGATATCAAGAAAACAGTGTATTTGGTATACATACAGTATATATATTTGATTTTTGTTTACAACATAGTATTTTAAGTTTTGTTAATGTTAATTGTGATAGATTAATAGATTATTATAACATTTATAGTTTTGCTTTCAAATAAAATCTATATTAAATTTTGTTAAAATATATTAATTTGAATAATTTAGAGTTTATAAAGTATTAAATCAAATTAATACTAACATGTAATTAATATATTATAATATATACATTTGTAGTTACATAAAACATTTTAGAGGAAGGATATAGAAACTACTTAATAAAAAATCATATAATGAATTATTTATACAATTAATAGGCGTTACGAGCTTCGGATAAATATCCGGCAAAAAGTTTTTTCTAGTATGTAATAAATTAGGGCATACATTAAGTTAGTTTTAATAACTAAAATTATTGAAATAAAACAATGTTTGATTATTAAACATTATCTACAGTACCCCCCCCCCCAAAAAAAAAACACACGGTGCATATCAAAATATATTTTCAATATTTGTTGACATGTTCTTATTTGAAGTCTCGTGCTAGTAATTTTATCAATGTTTCTGAAAAAAGGTAAAGAAAATGCTTTAAGTAATCATAAATTGAATTATTTAAATGTCACATCATTGGTGAAAACACGTACATTACTTTATATTTATTTAACAAAGTATTATTATTACCTCACAGTATATTAATAACAACTTATAATACAGTGAAAACTCTTTACAACGAAAAACTCTATGTAACGTAAACATTACATAATAATGGTTGGTTTGCTATATAACCCATTAGACAATTCATTCTCTATAACGTATTAGTCACTCTCAATAACGAAACAATATTTTATGTTTCATAATACAATTTACGTGTTATCGTATCTATTACATAATATATAAACTATAAAAATAATCGGCAATAATGCCGGCATTTCCAAGAACGATTACATTCTTTCATTATCTACTTTTAATATCGTTATTATCGATATTTAATAGGTACCATGTTCATTTTATTATCGACGTAATGTCTAACATTATTATACACATGACCACAGAAGTGCGCTAACATTCGTTATGGCAAGTAAAAGAAAAGCACTGTGTGTTGATCAAAAAGTCGCTTTAATACGTGCGATTGAAAAAGGTGAAAAAAAAAGTGATGTCGGGAAACGTTTTGGTTTTAGCCCATCTACTGTCGCTACTATCTGGAAGAATAAGGATAAAATATTGCATGCTGAAACAGAAGGAAGTTCTTGTAAAAAAATAAGGAAACCGAAATTTAAAGGCTTGGACCAGGCCATGTTAACGTGGTTCCATAAACAACGTTGTAATAATGTACCTATATCTGGGCCTGTTTTGAAAACTAAAGCTGAACATTTTGCTCAACAACTTGGTATTATAGATTTCAAGGCCTCGGAAGGATGGCTTGGAAAATTTAAACAACGTCACAATATTACCTATGGGAAAATAAGCGGAGAAGCACTAAATGTCGACTTGAATGTTACTAACAGCTGGTTAATTAATGTGTGGCCAAAATTGAATGAAAAGTACACTCCGGATAATATTTTTAATGCTGATGAGACAGGTATTTTTTACAAAATGACCCCAGATAAAACATTAAAATTCAAAGGGGAAAAATGCGTGGGAGGTAAACTTTCTAAAGAACGTATCACTGCCTTTGTAGCAGCCAATATGAGTGGCACTGAAAAAAGAAAGATTATGGTAATAGGCAAATCAAAAAACCCGCGATGTTTTAAAAATATTAAACGGTTGCCAGTCACTTATAAAGCAAATAACTCAGCGTGGATGACATCAATACTTTTTGAAGAAGAAATAAGAAAATGGGATGCAGAATTAAAAGGGCGAAAAGTTTTGTTACTCGTGAATAATTGTCCTGCTCATCCCAATCTATCTAATCTTATGAACATAGAGATGATATTTTTCCCAGCCTCCCAGCTAACACAACTAGTATCTTACAGCCGATGGACCAAAGTGTTATAAAAAGTTTGAAAGGCCACTATAGAAAGAAAATATTAATGGAAATTATCGAATCTGATGGCAATGCCTCTATCAATATGCTTGATGTGGTGAACTTCTTAAGTAAAGCCTGGGAAGAGGTAACAGCAGAAACTATACGGCATTCTTTTCGTAATGCTGGACTTCGAAGTTTTGCCAATGCTGAAGAAGAAACAAAACAATTTGAGAATGTAGATGATACACTGAGTGAGTGGATTACTCAGTTCAATACTCCGCATACTTTGACTCCTAAGGACCTACAAAACTATGTAGAAATAGACGAGAATCTAGTTACAACAATATCGTTAACTGATGAAGAAATCCTAAATGCAGTGACAAAAGGCGAGGAGGAGCAAAAGGAAGATGAAGAGGAAGCACAACCTGACGAAGTCGTAATACCAAGTATTCAACAAGCACTTGATGCGGCTAAATTATTAGAAAAGTACTTATTGTTTCATGAAGATGATCCAAAGTTATACCAAAACATGGGAGAAATTCATAGAAAAATACAAAAACAGTATTGGCAAAATAAAAAAGTCCAAACTAAGATGACAGACTATTTTAAATAAGGTTTAAAATATGTATAGTATAAAAATTAAATTATATTTAATAAGTATGTATAATAATAATAATAATTTAATACAATACGTAAATATATATAAAATAATGTAAAAATAATGATGTGTTTGATATATAATATTACATACCTTTATACATAAATAATTAAAATTTTGTTTTTTTTTAAACCCTTTCTATTACGAAAACTGTCTATAACGAAAGAAATCTCTTGGTCCCTTCAGATTCGTTATAAAGAGTTTTGACTGTACTACCAATACTAAAAATAAAAACTACATTTCAATCTTACCAAAAAATTAACTTTTTAGAGTTTCATACAATTCTGATAATTTATACAAATATCCAAGTACATATTCATTGTCGGAACTAATTAGTTCTTGTGTAGCAGGTTTACTAATAAAATTAGTAGCTCTAAACAAAATTTAAAAAACCATTTATGTAAATTGCAAAGAAAAATGTGTTTTTCACTATGGGTTTAAGAATATTTATATAGACATTTTTATTAAATTAAGTGCAAACTTTCTATCCAGACTTAATTTGACATTTAGAATATAATATAATCTTATGTTACTGCAAAGTGCGAATACAAGACAAATTAATATTTTACTTACAAACGTTGAGCATCATATGGGATTAAGGTATCGCACATAGATACAAGAATCCAAAAGAATTTTTTAAATGGATATTCAATGTAAGGGTTACTTAATGAATCACTCATCGCATATTGAATACCGTGTCGATGAATATTTGTTGATACTAGTCGTTTTCCTATTGGGTCCGTACACTGACATAAGATGCGTGTAATTATAGTAGCTACATCAGTCTAAAATTAAAATTTTAAATACCTATTTTGAAAGTTTTCTACACAGCAATGAATAAACACAAAGTTCATAGCATTAGGTACTTAATTATTATTACAGATAATATAGAATAGAATATATACACAGTGGTTCTTTTTAGACCTTGTAATAAATGTATACACACATGATCACATGGGCGAAACTAGACAATTTTATTAGGAAGGGCCAAATGTGAAAAAATTCTAATTACAAAGTAAGTTTTTTACTAAAATTTTAAATTGTTTTAAGTCAATTTATAATCATTTATGTATAATATATAATACATTATCTTTCAAAATACTTTTAATGAAATATAAGTACCAAAAAAAGGTAATATTTATGTATAAAATTCTTCCATACACATGTACCCCATTGAACTACTCTTAAGCTGCAGTCTGCAGGGTCGATTTTGATGAAATTAGTAGTGTGTTTGAGTGGGTCCCTGAGTGGTTTAAATTCACAATTGGACTCAATAAGTCTGACCCATTAAGGTGTTCAAACAAGGATTTTGTTTATAAATGGTTGCCATTAGTTACTCAGGTAGATTAAGTAAAAGAATGTATCAAATTATCACGTTTATGGTTTTGAATAAAGAAATGTATCTAATCAGAAATATGTGAATTGAATGCATATTTTTAGCTTAAATAGGTACTCAAAAACTACTCAACTAATTTTGTGAAAATTTCAAATTGTTCTTGGGGGCACCAGCAAACTTTATAGAGTAGTTTGAACCACATTTGAAAAAAGTAAGAATAAATTTGAAAGAAAAAACACAACATTTAAATATTAGAAATAAAACCACTTACTAAATCTTTTAATGTGTGGTTTTTGAAGTCTGATTTTTGCGAAATAATATTTTCATACATGTACACTAAGTATAAATTAATTGCATCGCTCAATTGACCTCCGGTTTCTTTTTTGCAAAAGAAATTAAAAACTGGTATAAGTGCATGTTCAATTGATTCCTTTAAAAAATAATTTACCAGTCATGAAAAGTTTGACTAATTTATTAAGATTATAAAATTATAGGGTAACTGTTTAGGTACCTTTTTTACAAACTGCAATAGTGTAATTAAATGATTCACTTCGATAAGACCATCCTGTATAAGTTGTATAAATACTTCTACAAGTCTTAAAGTACTTAAATCAATGTTATATTCTAAAATAAATTTTAAAAAAACCATTCAATAGGTTTAAAATCTTTGTTTCTTAAACCAAGAAATGCATACCACAGTTATTGAGCAAAAAAAATATGAACTCATTTAATCTCTTATTTTGGTCATCGTCAAGTATATAATAAGTTTTATCTATGTTAAATCTAATTCGTAATAAGTCATCAACAATTAAAAATGCCTGAAATCAATGAAAAAAATTACAAAAAGTTATATAAAAATAAAATATAATTTATAAAAAAAATAAAAATATCTTACAGTCTCACAGATGTTTAAAATTTGAGGGTCATATTTACTAGATGCATTTAACATGGCATTTAAAAAAGTAATATATGTATTTTCTACAATAATTTCAGACTGTTCAATAGAAAAATTATTTCGAAAATCTGTTGGTACTTTTAACATTTTTCTTCTGAATACTTCCATAAAAGCACTTAGAGCAAATTCCTAAACAATAATTTGATTTTAAGCCACACATTACATATTGCGTTTATTTCAAATATCGTACTGAAACAATTAAATTGCCTGGTGAGTTATTGTTTAGGTTAGG